TTTTGAACTTTTCGCGCTGAAAACGCTATCGGCTCAGAACGCTGACGCAAAGTATGAACGCACTCCTAATTGTTTTATTCTACAAGTTTGATTGTGAATACATTTTCAGGCCTCGAATACCTTTTCCATTGCCGGCAATCAACAGCAAGTCATGAAAGTAACCAGCACTCGATTCCAGGAGTGGCTTCCGCTCAGTAAGCTGATTCATAGTACTTTACACAAGCTGTTTCCCGTGTATTATGCTTGTGGATGATAGAGAATTTTTAGTGAGGAGTATCATCTACGACTCACGTTGTAAGGACTACGCGCAAGCACTCCAGAGGGACCTCGCTCGACAGAAGCGCTCTCATTCGGAACAGATGCGTCTACTGCACATGTGTGTCTTCCTAACTACTTCAAAACTTGTCATTGCATTCAACTGGTCACTGCTGGCGAATTGGAGAATCCGCAAAAAAAAGACAAGATACGTGCCGACTGATTTCTCCCAAGTAAAGACCAAATCAGTCAGTGCGTATCTAATCGTTTTTGCAGCCTTCTCCAGTTCTCCAGTACCCCATGAACGCGGCTTTAGTGCAGTCGCCGCTGTTCAGCTTCGAGGGGCATTTGCAATTTTGATAATTCCTTTCGTAGCTCATGTTGGTTAACAAGTCGCACCTTGGTCAGACCTGTAAAGTCGTGTAAAGTTGCGAAATTGTTCGAGTGAACCAATTTGCTCACGTGAACTTACAGGTCTTCATAAGGTGGCCTGTACGAACTTATCTGAATAACTTCTGGTGCCCCCACAAGCCGAACTGTGCCGTATTTTCATCATTGGGGTACCTACGTTCCCTTAATGTATTCACTCTCTTCAGAGACTTGGACGAGTGCAGAAGTGAGTCTGAAAGACAAGAAATCCGTGCCGACATTGCTCGACTAAAACAGCAATGGACTGGTAAACATGAACGAGTCCTTGCATGTGTGAGTCTCGGTTTTTTTTCATGCGGACTTTAATGTTCCAATAGGCCTTAGGGGAAAATGTTTCGTTTGGGGATTGGGGGGGGAGGTGTGTCATGGCATATCCCAGTACGTAACGCATCGGATTGTGGAACCAGCCCGTTCTCTACAGAAGCTTTCACGGCCACAAACGGTGGAATGCTGGAGCTAAGCCCAAA